CCATCCATCCATCCATCCATCCATCCATCCATCCATCCATCCATCATAAGCACTTAGTCATTAAGGTGATACCTTTTGGTCTTCTTGAATTTTCGTTATTCTCTCGTTTGTGGCCTGGTCTGCTAAACTGAAATGTCGGTGCAGGTGGATGACGAGGGCAACTGCCCAGCTGGTCAGCTGTGCCTGGACCCCCACACCAACGACTCCACAGTGCTGGACGCTCTGTTTGAGGTGCTCAGCTCGGAGAATGGCTCCGTGCCGTTGGAGTACCGGAAGTGCTGCTACGGCTATTGCATCGACCTCCTGGAGAAGTTGGCCGAGGACCTCCCCTTTGATTTCGAGCTCTACATTGTCGGGGACGGGAAATACGGGGCCTTGAAGAACGGCCGCTGGACGGGCCTGGTGGGGGACCTCTTGAGCGGCACAGCGCATATGGCGGTGACCTCCTTCAGCATCAACTCGGCCCGTAGCCAGGTGATCGACTTCACCAGCCCCTTCTTCTCCACCAGCTTGGGCATCCTGGTCCGCATCCGGGACACTGCCTCGCCCATCGGGGCCTTCATGTGGCCCCTGCACTGGACCATGTGGGTGGGGATCTTTGTGGCCCTCCACATGACGGCCCTCTTCCTGACCTTGTACGAGTGGAAGAGCCCCTACGGGATGACCCCGCATGGCCGCAACCGCATGAAGATTTTCTCCTACTCCTCGGCGCTCAACCTCTGCTACGCCATCCTCTTCGGGCGGACCGTCTCCAGCAAGACGCCCAAATGCTGGACGGGGCGCTTCCTGATGAACCTCTGGGCCATCTTCTGCCTTCTGGTGCTCTCGAGTTACACGGCCAACTTGGCGGCGGTCATGGTGGGCGAGAAGACCTTTGAGGAGCTCTCCGGCATCCATGACCCCAAGGTTGGTAAGATGCCGTGTCCTTCTTTGGCCTTGATCTTTCCTCGTGGTCGCGCCATCACCAGAACCCATCTGGGACTCTCAACTAGAGATGACCCCTTGAATCTGTGGGATTGGCCCAATGGTTGACTTGCTGTTCAACAGCGGATCCATTGGGGTCAACTCTACTAGGGACCCTCAACATCACTTAGCTCTCCGGGTTCACCTAGGAGGTAATTTAAGGCTCTTGTGGAACCATCATAGGCACATCGACTCTGCTCACAAATAGAGGTGTGGGTATTTGGGTTCCTGAACTTCAATCTGCAGGATTCTCAGCTCCTGGAAGGTGGATTCTGATTGTCATGGTCTCAAAACACTAGCTTGCACATCATTGCATAGACCAGAGATTCCCAAACTTGTATCCCCAGATGTTCTTGGACTACAACTCCTAGAAGCCTTCACCACTAGTTGTGCTGGTCAGGATTTCTGGGAGTTGCAGTCTGAAAACACCTGAGGTTGGGAACTATGGACATCTAGATGCCTCTTTTCACACTTCCATGTCCTGGTCTGACATCTGGAGGAGACCGTATCAGGGGAAGCATTTAACATGTGTGCCTCCCTCCCTCTTTCCTGCACTTCTTACCCCCTGACTCCCAAACACTGTTGCAGAGTTTCGAATTCCTGGCAGAATTCTCTTTCGCTACGTAGTCAAAGTCTGGAGAGCCACAGAGTAGAATAACTCCCAAGTTCCCTAGGCCGTCCACCCCCTTTCTCATGGACTGGCCCTTAATGTCTTAGCCACTCGCTCCGAGACATTGGTAGAACGGAGCATTAAAAATGTTTTTCGTTGCGTACAGTTGTGAACAGATCAACAGCAAAGCGAAGCAGCTGATGTCCAGCTGGCTAAAGAGAGGGAAAGAGCACACGGCCGAGAGAAGGGGCTTTCAGGGAGACTTTTCCTATCCTTCTTTCTCCTCTACCTGATCTCCTTCCTTTAATGTCTGTCTTACTCCTTTTTCATCCCCTGCCTTGTTTGGGGATCATCCAGCTTTCTCTGGGCTCTTCATTTAAGGGAGGAAAAAAAACCTCAGTATCAGATGTGATCGATTTCCCTGTATCTGTTTTTTTTAATTAATTGTGTTTTTGCTTCTTTCCAAATATATATTTCGGCAGCTGCATCACCCATCCCAGGGCTTCCGATTCGGGACGGTGTGGGAAAGCAGCGCCGAAGAATACATCAAGAAAAGCTTCCCAGACATGCATGAGTACATGAGGAGGCTCAGCGTTCCCACCACGCCGGCCGGGGTCAAGATGCTCAAGTAAGTGCGGCTCAGCCTTTGGTGGGGAGCACCTTTCGGGGGGGGGCGAAGGAAACCCCGATGAAAAGGCGTCCATCGCATTCAAACTTCATTGACATTTATGTCGATGTAGAAGGACGTCAGCTGGTGAAACCTTGAGCCGTTCGGTGTCACCGTTTTGGCATGGTTTGCCGATGTCCGAAATGTTGTGGTTCCTTTTGTGTGTGTGTGTGGCTCCTGCAGGACCAACCCTCCCAAGCTGAATGCGTTCATCATGGACAAATCTTTGCTGGATTACGAGGTCTCCATCGATTCAGACTGCAAGCTTCTGACCGTGGGGAAACCTTTTGCCATTGAGGGTGAGCGGACACGTTTCTAGCCGGCGTGGGGCCGGGAGGACGGGCCCGCGGTGTTTGTGTCTCTGTGTCCATAAAGTTGACGGAGGAAGAATCCGGGTGGAAAAAATTTGGAGAGGAGGAGAGAGGTTGGATGGGGGAGCCCGCACCGCTCACGCCTCCCGATGCCGCCGAAACTGGGTCACCCCGATTAATCTTTTAACTGGTCCTGTAAAATATTAAACCGGACAGAATGTGCAAACATCAGAAGGCTTCTTCCCAGGCCTGACCGTAAAAGCCTGCCACAAAGCTTCCTTTCGGCACTTTGCCGCCACTGCCTCCCCCCAGTAGCGGCCGCCCGAGGCAGTGCCCTGGCAGCCCCGAACGACAGATCCGTCTCTGTCCCAGAGAATAGGGAGGAGACACTGGAAACAGAGAAGGGGACAACATCCGTAGGACGTTGGTGTGAGGCCGGGAGGGTATCCAGATGTTCAGCCCCAGGCGTCGGCTACGGGCCATGCCGGGCCTTAAAACGGCCACCAAAATATAGGGGATCAAAACCAGACAGGCTCGGAAGTTCTGCTTCTTGTTCTGATGTATGTTTTTTTAACGGACGTGTGAAAGTCCGGAGTGTTCCCTATATAGAGATGGATCGCTACAAGCCGAAACACCTTTTTGGAAACTAAAAAGGAAAGCAAAAGAATCCCATAAAAAGCTTTGGGGTTTTTTTGTGGGGGTGTACGTCACACTTTGCCCACCCCGGTTTAACGTGGGTGCCACCCCCCCAAAAAAAATCATGCTTGCCTTCTCTTCATCTCTTTGGCGTGGTTAACGGAGGCGCCTGTCGCTGGCCTCGTCGGCGAGGCGTTTTGATCGCTTCGCCTCCCCGTTCCCTCTGCAGCGAAGCGCAGAAGTGAGTGGAATACCAATGATCTCCCCCAAAATCCACTCACTCCCCCACCCCCCCGTCCACCCACGCCGCATTGATGAGACTCAGATGCCAGGTTTGGGTTTTTAAATCCTAGAAGGAGACGCGCCAGCTGTCACTCAGGGCAGGGTGTCGGTTTCAAGCTGAAATGGGCCGGGTTGGTTCCCGGATAAGTGCATATGGAAATTAGCAATTGGAAATTAGCCTGTTCCTTCCATCATCCTTGTTTCGTCCATGTTCAGCTGTAATACTCACAGCCACTCCGATTTCCCTTCATGCCAGTATCTTATTTTCCATCAATCCTGCGGCCGTGGAAAATATTTTGGGGGGTGGTTTGCTTTCGGCTGAGGCATCGGGACCCGTGAGCTTTGCAAAACACCCACTCTAGAAAATACTTGAACCATTTTGTGGCTACAGAACATGGTTCACTATATCGTCTTATACTCCTTGTTGATCAGGTTTAAGGAACTTTTGCAGCCCTCCACTTTCAGCCTATCCTCTCTGGGGGATTTCTTGAAAAGGAGTCTGTTTAACAACAACAGCAGCTACAGAAACCGGCAATATTATCCTGTTTTCATGAAAATAAGACCTAACCTGAAAATAAGCCCTAGTATGATTTTTCAGGATGCTCGTCATATAAGTCCTACCCTCCCAAAATAAGCCCCAGTTAAGTGAAACCCCGCCCTCCACCCTTGTGCAGCAGCCAGAAGAAGAGGACAGGACTGTCTTTGAATCAATGTAGAACAGGGGTTTTAAACTCAATTTACCTGGGGGCCGCTAGAGGCAGAGTCTGGGTGAGGCTGGGCCGCATCAGATTTTCCACCAAGCGGAGCGAGAGCCCGAGAAAGCCACCCAGGAGTTTCCTTAGCCGACAGACAGGTGGGCTGGCTGGCAGGCTGCAGTTCTGGATGGAGGGTGCAAGAACAGCATCCATTCTGTACCGATATTTAACAGATACAGTACTTAGGTTATTGGTTAAAACTGGTATCTCTTATATAAAACTAGTCAATATTTTTATAATTTTGACTGTGCCTGGAGTTTTATAACAACAACAACAACAACAAAACACTGTGTTAGATAATTCCTGTTAATTAATGTCTGCACCAGCACATTATTTTAATGCTAAACATGTGCCCACATTTTAAAAAAAGGATTTTCAATTTGTATAGCTAGCCTATTCAAGTGATGAACTATCACTTCTGAGTCAATCCCGATTTATGGACAGTTGGGGATATCTCTATATCTAATATGATATAGCCTAGTAAGAAAATGTGGCAGTTGAATTTATTGCCTCCTCCTCCTCCTCCTCCTCCTCCTCCTCCTTCAACCAGCTATCAATGGGCTTTCTGCACTCTCTCTGCCCCTTTACGTATAGATAAATCCATTAAATCCTGCTGTTGC